CACTCCTCTGGTGGTGCCGATGGCAACTCTACTCTTCACTCCTCTGGTGGTGCCTATGGCAACTCTGCCCTTCCCTCCTCTGCTCTCTACTTCCCACTATATCGTATGCTCTAGAATATTATTTTGGTAACAAATCTAGGACCTTGCCTTCAATATCTTGTATGTATAAATGTGTGATACCCCTTTCTTCTTTCTAGAGTATTTTGAGAAGTTTGAGAATTTAGATGTTTTGTGTGTGTGTGTGTGTATGTATGTATGTACACTCGCCTAATACTTACCTAATTGTGCTTGCGGGGGATGAGCTCTGGCTCTTTGGTCCCGCCTCTCAACTGTCAATCAACAGGTGTTCAGGTTCCTGAGCCTATTGGGCTCTATCATATCTACACTTGAAACTGTGTATGGAGTCAGTCTCCACCACATCACTTCCTAATGCATTCCATTTCTCAACCACTCTGACACTAAAAAAGTTCTTTCTAATATCTCTGTGGCTCATTTGGGCACTCAGTTTCCACCTGTGTCCCCTAGTGCGTGTGCCCCTTGTGTTAAATAGCCTGTCTTTATCAACCCTGTCGATTCCCTTGAGAATCTTGAATGTGGTGATCATGTCCCTCCTAACTCTTCTGTCTTCCAACGAAGTGAGGTTTAATTCCCGTAGTCTCTCCTCGTAGCTCATACCTCTCAGCTCGGGTACTAGTCTGGTGGCAAACCTTTGAACCTTTTCCAGTTGAGTCTTATAAATGTGTGTGTGGGGGGGGGGGGTGAGGGGGGGGTTGACTAACACAAGTCAGTCATAAATTAATAAAAGTTAATGATAATAAATTAAGGTAAATGAATGAATGAGGAATCTAAGAATATTCTGAATAATTTATTATTCAGTAAATTAAATTTTAATAATAAGAGGATAGACTGGGAGAAAATAAACATGGAACTTACAAACATTCAATGGGAAAATGTTCTAAGTAATAAAAATCCTACACAAGGAATAGAAAAAGTGACTTCTGAAGCCTATGAAGTCTGTCTGAAACATGTTCCTTTGAGGAAAGCCAGAAAGAGGTCCAACGTAGAAAGAGAACGCAGACGACACTACAAAAGAAGGAAGAAATTAACGGAAATGCTTAAGCAGACACGACTCTCCACACAAAGAAGGAATAATTTAAACAGTGAGATTGAAGAAATGGAGCAGAAATTTAAACACTCATCAGAGTGACGAAAAGGCAACTAAAACAAAAAGCAATTCAGGAAAAAAAATTCTTCACATATGCGAAATCAAAAGCAAAAACCACTGCCAGTATTGGACCTATTCGTACAAGTGAAGGTTCATACACCGAGGATGACAAAGAAATTAGTGAAATCCTAAAAAAGCAGTACGAGGACATGTTTAGCACTCCAATAAACAACATGAAAGTGGAAGATCCGGACAACTTCTTTTTGCCTGATACCCAAACCACTGTCAATATAACTGATATCAACACGAGCGTAGCAGATTTTGAATGAGAAATTAAAAACATGCCCATGCACTCAGCCCCAGGTCCAGACTCCTGGAATTCAATATTTTATAAAGAAATGCAAAGTGCCGGTAGCACAGGCACTCAGTATAGTGTGGAGGAAGAGCTTGGACACGGGGGAGATACCAGATGCGCTTAAAGCAGCAGACATAGCCGCTCAACACAAGGGAGGGAGCAAAGCATTGGCAAAGAATTATAGACCAGTTGCACTAACATCGCACATCATAAAAGTATTTGAGAGAGTGATCAGGAGTCAGGTCACCAATTTCATGGAGACCAATGACCTCCACAACCCAGGCCAACATGGATTCAGAGCGGGAAGATCATGCCTCTCACAGCTACTTGACCATTACGACAAAGTCACTGAGGCATTAGAAGAAAAACAGAATGCAAATGGTGTATACACGGATTTTGTAATGGCATCCGATAAATGTGGCCATGGAGTGATAGCACATAAAATTAGGTCAATGGGAATAACTGGTAAAGTAGGACGCTGGATACTCAGTTTTCTGTCGAACAGAACACAAAGAGTAACAGTCAATCAGATAAAATCGAGTCCAAGCGCAGTTAAAAGTTCTGTACCTCAGGGTACAGTCCTTGCACCACTGCTTTTTCTTATTCTCACATCAGATATAGACAAAAATGCAAGTCACAGCTTCGTATCATCCTTTGCAGATGACACAAAAATCAGCATGAAAATTACCTCTGCTGAAGATATTGAAAAACTTCAAGCAGATATAAAAACGTTTCGACTGGGCAACAGAAAATAACATGATATTTAACAGCGATAAATTCCAGGTACTCAGGTACGGTAAAAATGAGGACCTTAAACATAATACAGAGTACAAAACAATCAAATCTTCCCATAGTAGATAAGCAGCATGTAAAGGACTTGGGAATAATGATGTCCGACGACCTAACGTTTAGGGAGCATAACCAAGCAAATATTGCGTCAGCCAGAAAAATGATCGGATGGATTACGAGAACTTTCAAATCCAGGGATCCCATCACAATGGTTGTACTCTTCAAGTCACTTGTGTTGTCCCGTCTTGAGTACTGCTCAGTACTCACTTCCCCTTCAGAGCAGGAGAGATTGCTGAAATAGAGGGAATACAGAGAACATATACGGCACGCATAGACGAGATAAAACACCTAAATTATTGGGATCGTCTCAAAGCTCTCCAAATGTACTCACTAGAAAGGAGACGAGAGAGATACCAAATAATATACACATGGAAAATACTGGAGGGACAGGTCCCAAATCTACACAGTAAAATAACAACGTACTGGAGTGAACGATATGGAAGAAAATGCAGAATAGAACCAGTGAAGAGCAGAGGTGCCATAGGCACAATCAGAGAACACTGTATAAACATCAGAGGTCCGCGGTTGTTCAACGTCCTCCCAGCGAGTATAAGAAATATTGCCGGAACAACCGTGGACATCTTCAAGAGGAAACTAGATAGTTTCCTCCAAGGAGTGCCGGACCAACCGGGCTGTGGTGGGTATGTGGGCCTGCGGGCCGCTCCAAGCAACAGCCTGGTGGACCAAACTCTCACAAGTCAAGCCTGGCCTCGGGCCGGGCTTGGGGAGTAGAACAACTCCCAGAACCCCATCAACCAGGTATCAACAAGGGGATTGACAAGGTCGCTTAAGACTGGTAGTGAGGGAGATGTGTCTCAGTACCCGGGCCCCCTTCTTGATGGTGCAGCAGCTCTCCCATGGAGGGTATGACATGCCGGGCCCCAGGCCGGGCCCCAGGCCGGGCCCCAGGCCGGGCCCCAGGCCGGGCCCCAGGCCGGGCCCAGAGAGTAGTACTCCCAGAAGCCGCCCTGGTGCAAGTGTGAGGAGGTCGGCCACTATCCAGCATTAGGTACACACTGGACCATCCCTCGTCTCCCACACGACACAATGCACCACCACAACCTCCAAAAGTCCACACCACCAAATCATTCTCCCCACTGTAGCTGCCCCACGAAGTTTTATAAATATACAAAATGTGATGTATTATGTAACATAATTATATGTGGTAGAGCTATAGGGTGATTGTAGTGGTCGTCCCTTACCCACCACCACCCTTACTGTATCTTTATGTAGACAAGTGAACTAATGTGTGCGAGTTTGTGTAGAGAGGATGGTATGTCTTGGACCACAACTGCCGCTCACAATGTTGGAGCTGCAGACATTAACATGTTGCACTCCTCTATAGCAAATATATTAATATGAGTGTTTTTGTTTTCCAGGTGAGTGACTATTGGTGTGAAATGTGCATGTGGACTGTAGCAGTGAAGGTGAGTGGTGTTGACCCCCACACAACACTTCCAGCAGTGAAGGTGAGTGGTGTTGACCACCACCTTCACTACCACACAACACTTCCAGCAGTGAAGGTGAGTGGTGTTGACCACCACACACCACTTCCAGCAGTGAAGGTGAGTGGTGTTGACCACCACACAACACTTCCAGCAGTGAAGGTGAGTGGTGTTGACCACCACACAACACTTCCAGCAGTGAAGGTGAGTGGTGTTGACCACCACACAACACTTCCAGCAGTGAAGGTGAGTGGTGTTGACCACCACACAACACTTCCAGCAGTGAAGGTGAGTGGTGTTGACCACCACACAACACTTCCAGCAGTGAAGGTGAGTGGTGTTGACCACCACACACCACTTCCAGCAGTGAAGGTGAGTGGTGTTGACCACCACACAACACTTCCAGCAGTGAAGGTGAGTGGTGTTGACCACCACCTTCACTACCACCACACACCACTTCCAGCAGTGAAGGTGCGTGGTGTTGACCACCACCTTCACTACCACACAACACTCCCAGCAGTGAAGGTGAGTGGTGTTGACCACCACACACCACTTCCAGCAGTGAAGGTGAGTGGTGTTGACCACCACCTTCACTACCACCACACAACACTTCCAGCAGTGAAGGTGAGTGGTGTTGACCACCACACACCACTCCCAGCAGTGAAGGTGAGTGGTGTTGACCACCACCTTCACTACCACACAACACTTCCAGCAGTGAAGGTGAGTGGTGTTGACCACCACACACCACTCCCAGCAGTGAAGGTGAGTGGTGTTGACCACCACACACCACTCCCAGCAGTGAAGGTGAGTGGTGTTGACCACCACACACCACTCCCAGCAGTGAAGGTGAGTGGTGTTGACCACCACACACCTGGCCACCCTTCACAACTTACTGCTCAGTAATCTCCCACATCCACCACACACCTGGCCACCCTTCACAACTTACTGCTCAGTAATCTCCCACATCCGATATCAACTTTCATGCAATTTGGTTAAAAATAACTCGTTAAAATGTGGTAAATTTATATTCAATTGTATTGTAATCTTTGTTTTAAAGTTGTAATATTTCTTAAACTTTTGTCTTGGTAAGAAAGAGATTGAAATACATATATGTTAAGGAGTAGTGTGAGAGGAAGTGAAGGGGTGGGGGGGGGGGTGAGTGTGGTGTGAATGTTCGGAGGAGAGGATGGTTGTCCTCAGTCGTGGCCCCCTCAACACGGGAGCAGTCGTGGCACCCTCAACACGGGAGCAGCCGTGGCACCCTCAACACGGGAGCAGCCATGGCACCCTCAACACGGGAGCAGCCATGGCACCCTCAACACGGGAGCAGTCGTGGCACCCTCAACACGGGAGCAGTCGTGGCACCCTCAACACGGGAGCAGCCATGGCACCCTCAACACGGGAGCAGCCGTGGCACCCTCAACACGGGAGCAGCCGTGGCACCCTCAACACGGGAGCAGCCGTGGCACCCTCAACACGGGAGCAGCCATGGCACCCTCAACACGGGAGCAGTCGTGGCACCCTCAACACGGGAGCAGCCATGGCACCCTCAACACGGGAGCAGCCATGGCACCCTCAACACGGGAGCAGCCATGGCACCCTCAACACGGGAGCAGCCATGGCACCCTCAACACGGGAGCAGCCATGGCACCCTCAACACGGGAGCAGCCATGGCACCCTCAACACGGGAGCAGCCGTGGCACCCTCAACACGGGAGCAGTCGTGGCACCCTCAACACTGGAGCAGCCGTGACACCCTCAACACTGGAGCAGTCGTGGCACCCTCAACCACCCGCCTGGCACCCGTGGCACCCGCCTGGCGTCTGTGACGCAGACCCGGCCTGGCGTCTGTGACGCAGACCCGGCCTGGCGTCTGTGACGCAGACCCGGCCTGGCGTCTGTGACGCAGACCCGGCCTGGCGTCTGTGACGCAGACCCCGCCTGGCGTCTGTGACGCAGACCCCGCCTGGCGTCTGTGACGCAGACCCGGCCTGGCGTCTGTGACGCAGACCCCATGACTGATCTTGAAAGTTGGCCGAGGCTTGTAAGTGTCTGCCCTCCAGCCCTTGACACGGGGTGTTTAAATACAAAAAGTGATATAGTGAGGTAAAGTATGTGAACAGTTGTGGTGACAGTTTACATTTAGTCCGGATTACGGGCTATTCTTGCCCGTGCAACCTCTTGGGTGGGTTAATCTTCGTCGACCAGTCACTATAGCCAGGTGTACGTCAGCAGGTGGTGGAGACTGGCAGAGGTAGTTATGGCCGAGCCTAGACCTAGCTGTGGTAGCAGTGTGTGTGTGTGTGTGTGTGTGTGTGTGTGTGTGTGTGTGTGTGTGTGTGTGTGTGTGTGTGTACACATAGAGGGGGCCTCGCCTCCCGTCTGTATCCACCCTTACTCTGGAGACATTACCAATCACAACAGAACACTACCCACGGACAACATTTGTGTTATCGTGTTACGTTAGTATTGGCCGACAAGTCCCACAATACACACAAGTTGTTGAGATTTGCCTTAATTGTTGTAGTTCAGGTTGATGGTGTTAGGAGTGAGGAGCTGTTGATGAGTGACTAGCGACTGCCTCTCACACACGAGGCGTGTTTGTCCAGGCCGTAATCTGCAGCAGCACATGGGGCTCTATCTTTACTGGACACACATCATAACCTGCCAGAATAAATATCTCTATATATCTACCACTTTTGATGCTTTGGCGTCTTTAAGCGGCAAGACCAGTGTATGGAGCACAGGTCTATGTGGTGAGAGTGAGGCCAAGTGTCCACCACTCATTTCCCAGTGGTAACGTCCACACTGTGCCCTCACCTACCCACCTCTATTTAATACTGTGGTGTCGAACCTAAGCTCTTGAGTCCCTCCTCTTAGCCGTCATTAGGTGTAAAGATTGCCAAACGTGTTTGGCTGTAGTATCCACATATTCAGCTGTGTACGGAGTCTTAGCGTCGTAGCTGTTGATATCTGCCTCTTCTCCTCATGTCCTCCCTCACTAACCACCAACATACGAACCCAAGCAGCCCACCTAACCCACTACTCAGATGCCTATAATACCTATATATTTGTCAGCTGTTATTTTTCGTAGTAGGTTGCATTTGTAACGTTGGTAACCTTAAGTTACAACACGACTTGTTAGTTGAGACGGACGCGTCCTCCACCCTCTTGATGCTTGACCTAATGGGCCAGTGGCCACTATATGGCCACAGGTGTGTGTGTATAACATACTGGTCCACAGGTGTGTGTGTGTATAACATACTGGTCCACAGGTGTGTGTATAGCCACATGCTGGTCCACAGGTGTGTGTGTATAACATACTGGTCCACAGGTGTGTGTGTATAACATACTGGTCCACAGGTGTGTGTGTATAACATACGGGTCCACAGGTGTGTGTGTATAACATACTGGTCCACAGGTGTGTGTGTGTATAACATACTGGTCCACAGGTGTGTGTGTGTATAACATACTGGTCCACAGGTGTGTGTGTGTATAACATACTGGTCCACAGGTGTGTGTGTATAACATACTGGTCCACAGGTGTGTGTGTATAACATACTGGTCCACAGGTGTGTGTATAGCCACATGCTGGTCCACAGGTGTGTGTGTGTATAACATACTGGTCCACAGGTGTGTGTGTATAACATACTGGTCCACAGGTGTGTGTGTATAACATACTGGTCCACAGGTGTGTGTGTATAACATACTGGTCCACAGGTGTGTGTGTATAACATACTGGTCCACAGGTGTGTGTGTGTATAACATACTGGTCCACAGGTGTGTGTATAGCCACATGCTGGTCCACAGGTGTGTTTGTATAACATACTGGTCCACAGGTGTGTGTGTGTATAACATACGGGTCCACAGGTATGTGTGTATAACATACTGGTCCACAGGTGTGTGTGTGTATAGCCACATGCTGGTCCACAGGTGTGTGTATAGCCACATGCTGGTCCACAGGTGTGTGTGTATAACATACGGGTCCACAGGTGTGTGTGTGTATAACATACGGGTCCACAGGTGTGTGTGTGTATAGCCACATGCTGGTCCACAGGTGTGTGTGTGTGTATAGCCACATGCTGGTCCACAGGTGTGTGTGTGTGTATAGCCACATGCTGGTCCACAGGTGTGTGTGTATAGCCACATGCTGGTCCACAGGTGTGTGTGTATAGCCACATGCTGGTCCACAGGTGTGTGTGTATAGCCACATGCTGGTCCACAGGTGTGTGTGTGTATAGCCACATGCTGGTCCACAGGTGTGTGTGTATAGCCACATGCTGGTCCACAGGTGTGTGTGTATAGCCACATGCTGGTCCACAGGTGTGTGTGTATAGCCACATGCTGGTCCACAGGTGTGTGTATAGCCACATGCTGGTCCACAGGTGTATATAACCACATGCTGGTCCACAGGTGTGTGTATAACCACATGCTGCTCCACAGGTGTGTATAACCACATGCTGGTCCACAGGTGTGTGTATAGCCACATGCTGGTCCACAGGTGTGTATAGCCACATGCTGGTCCACAGGTGTGTATAACCACATGCTGGAACAAGGAACGAAAACACACTAGACTTGTTATTCACAAACAATGATGAACTAATCAGAGACATTACAATCCCAGATACTATACACTCAGACCATAAGCTCATTGAAGTGCGAACTAGCCTAAATAACGGTAGTAGGTCTAAGAGACCCAACAAGCGAGAAGGAGTATTCAATCAATTCAATTTCAACAATAAGAGGATTGACTGGGAACAATGGGAGACGGTCTTAAGCGACAAAACTCCCACACAGGGAATAGCTCAACTGACAGCTGAAGCTTACAAGGTCTGCTTGAAGCACGTGCCTGTGAGGAGGGGCAGAAAGAGGACCACTCTAGAAAGAGAACGCAGACGACTGTACAAGAGAAGGAAAAAATAACGGAAATGCTTCGGCAGACACAACTATCACAAGCAAGGAAAACAAGCCTAAGCAGGGAGATCTAAGAAATGGAACAAACGTTGAAGCGATCATATGAGTGAGGAAATGGAATTGGAACAGAAAGCTATACAAGAGATAAGGAAAAAGAAAAAATGTTTTTTCACATACGTAAAATCAAAATCCAAAACCTCGACCAGTATTGGACCGTTAATTACAAATGAAGGTACGTACACAGAGGACAACAAAGAGATTAGTGGAATTCTAAGAAGCCAGTATGAGGCTATGTTTAGCACACCAATAAACAACATGAAAGTTGATGACCCAGACAGCTTCTTTATGAATGACATTCAAGCTGCAGATAATATAACGGATATTAACACAAACTCAGAAGACTTTGAAAGAGAAATTGACAATATGCCTATGCACTCAGCTCCTGGGCCTGACTCATGGAATTCAATATTCATAAAGAAATGAAAAGTACCAGTAGCGAGAGCACTCAGCGTAATATGGAGAAAGAGCCTGGATACAGGGGAAATACCAGCAGCACTTAAATCTGCAGATATAGCTCCGTTGCATAAGGGGGGGGAGTAAAGCCTTGGCAAAAAATTATAGGCCAGTTGCACTAACATCACACATAATAAAAGTGTTTGAAAGAGTGATTAGGAATCAAATATCTAGTTTTATGGAAAATAAAGAATTACACAACCCAGGACAACATGGATTTAGAGCGGGAAGATCCTGTCTCTCACAGTTACTCAACCACTATGACAAAATCACAGAAGCTTTAGAAGAAAAGTAAAATACAGATTCGACAAATGTGACCTGCCCAAAATGAGGTATGGGAATAACTGGTAAAGTAACGCTGGGTAATTTCCTGTCAGCAGAACACATGTCAAGAAATTTGGGAATAATGATGTCCGACGATCTAACGTTTAGTGAGCATAACCAAGCAAATATTGCGTCAGCCAGAAAAATGATCGGATGGATTACGAGAACTTTCAAATCCAGGGATCCCATCACAATGGTTGTACTCTTCAAGTCACTTGTGTTGTCCCGTCTCGAGTACTGCTCAGTACTCACTTCCCCCTTCAGAGCAGGAGAGATTGCTGAAATAGAGGGAATACAGAGAACATATACGGCACGCATAGACGAGATAAAACACCTAAATTATTGGGATCGTCTCAAAGCTCTCCAAATGTACTCACTAGAAAGGAGACGAGAGAGATACCAAATAATATACACATGGAAAATACTGGAGGGTCAGGTCCCAAATCTACACAGTAAAATAACAACGTACTGGAGTGAACGATATGGAAGAAAATGCAGAATAGAACCAGTGAAGAGCAGAGGTGCCATAGGCACAATCAGAGAGCACTGTATAAACATCAGAGGTCCGCGGTTGTTCAACGTCCTCCCAGCGACTATAAGAAATATTGCCGGAACAACCGTGGACATCTTCAAGAGGAAACTGGATTGTTTTCTAAGAGAAGTGCCGGATCAACCGGGCTGTGGTGGGTATGTGGGCCTGCGGGCCGCTCCAAGCAACAGCCTGGTGGACCAAACTCTCACAAGTCAAGCCTGGCCTCGGGCCGGGCTTGGTGGAGTAGAAGAACTCCTAGAACCCCATCAACCAGGTATCAGGACTCTGGTGTTTACACGTGAGATCACCGTAGATGCCTGGACGGGGTTCCCGGTTCACTACCCCATGGTCAACATATCTTGAGAAATGTATACTCTTTGTGCGAGTCATACTGGCATGACGGATGTCCTCAGGCGAGACAAGTGATTACCTCAGCTGTGGTGGTCAGCCGCAGGTATAGATGACATTGGTGATAATATAGCGAGGACGGCAGTATAGACGAGAGGCTTCCTCCAGTCTTCTTCAGGCAGGAAGTGGAGGCTTCCT